TCAAAACCAGCTCTTGCAGAATAGAATATTTGTTTAGCTATGTAAAGATGTGTTGCTGTTTCACCTTGCCTGCCTAAGGCACCTGATTGGTCTAATAAAAAGCTGAACAGCCAATAGCCAGGCAGAGGAGGGATAGGCAGGGCTGGGGGAGAGGAGGCCAGGGGCCGCCAGCCACAGAAGAAGCAGGAAAGCAGGATGGACAGTATGTAGATGAGGTAAATGAGCCTCAAGGCAGTACATAGATTAATAGAAATGGGTTAATTTAAGTTGAAAGAAAGAAAGAAAGAAAGAAAGAAAGAAAGAAAGAAAGAAAGAAAGAAAGAAAGAAAGAAAGAAAGAAAGAAAAGAAAAAAGCTAGCCTTAAGGCCGAGCATTCGTAATTAACCATAAGTCTCCGTGTCATCCTTTGGGGGCTGGCGGTCCAAGAAAGCCTGCTACAGCCAGCAGAACTGAAAACAAGCTCTCTGGAAAATTCGGTCCACTGGAACTTTCAGTGACCGAACTGAGCGTTGGATTTGATTCTTCATTTATTTTATTTAATCTTATTAAATATGATTTTATTTCATCATGTCTCTGTTCAGTACTTGGACTGGGGCCTTGTGCGTGCTCGGCGCGTGCTCTCCCACTGAACTACAGCCCCAGCTCCAGGGCTGTCACAGGCCCCTCGGAAAAGACACCAAGTTGGTGTCCTGGCTCCTCCAAAACCGGAACCGGCTGTCCCCACCGGGCTGAAAATGCAGCTGGGCCTGGTGTGTGTGTTTGCCTCACTCAAAAGACCAGCCCTGAGGGCTGTTTGGGAATCCTGAGGTTGACTAGCTGGCCTCACCTCAGGGAGGCGAAATGGAGGAGCAGGCAGGGAATTCCAAGTTCTAAGGGAGAAGGGGCACCGTGACCCCATGACACCCCTGCGGCCTGGGGTGAGCCCGGGGTGAGCCCGGGGTGAGCCTAGGGTGAGCCCGGGGTGAGCCCGGGGTGAGCCCGGGGTGAGCCTGGGGTGAGCCCGGGGTGAGCCTGGGGTGAGCCCGGGGTGAGCCCGGGGTGAGCCTAGGGTGAGCCTGGGGTGAGCCTGGGGTGAGCCTGGGGTGAGCCTGGGGTGAGCCTGGGGTGAGCCCGGGGCTCCATAACGGCCGCTCCTCACACCGGCTCCCCCACCAGCCTTAGATCCCTGCTAAGCTCTCCAGGGGCTGATTAGACAAGAAGGATCGCGAGGCTCGGCTTGGAAGCCTAGCCACCTCCGCAGTCCTTCCTTGCCAGCCATTTCGTGCACATGAGCCATTGCCCGCCCGCCCGCCCGCCCGCGCCTCGCACCTCGCGCCGTGTCTGCGGAGAATGATTTTACTGTGACGCTGCCCACATGCCCTTGCTCACAGCCCTTGCGCGCGGCAGCCCCTTTTCCTCAATCTTCAGCGTCATACCCCGTGTGACACGCGCGCTGTGTTTCCCTGCTGCCACGGGAGGTGGAAATGGTGGGTGGGAGACTGGATCTTCACTTTTATTCCACGTGGATTTCAAACCCCCTTTCAAAATCAAAGATCGCTCCACAAAGGCTGACGAGGGACTTTAAGGATAGACTTGAAAACAGGGCTGGAGAGATGGCTCAGAGGTTAAGAGCACTGACTGCTGGTCCGGAGGTCCTGCGTTCAATTCCCAGCGCCCACATGGTGGCTCACAACCATCTGTAATGAGATCTGGTGCCCTCTTCTGTAAAACAAATAAGGGGGGGGGGGTTTAAGAGCTGGTCAGACCACCTTAGAGTTGAGACTGAAGCCCAGACAGTGATGGGTCAATGGTAGTGATGGGTCAATGGTAGGCTGCACCACGTCTTGGACTGCTTAGAAATGCATATTGTTAGCCCTCTATTTACACTGCAATCTCACCTCAGGTTCCCGAAGATGGATTAGAGGGGGGTCACTGGATCTATTTGTCCAGTTCCCAAAGGGGCCACAGTGGATAAATCTTTTTGTTTTCCACTGTTCTTTTTGTCTTGTTTTTTTTTGGGGGGGATTCTCTGTGATGATTTTTACCCTGCGAAGAAAAGTCATGAAACACGACAGAATCCACTAACAAGAGTTTTATTCAGAACGGAGAAAGGGACAGATGTGATCAGGCCTGCTGAAAGCTCACGTGGGGGAGAAGGGGTGGGGGTGGGGACGGGACATGGGGCCTGCCTTTCTAAGGGCCTACCTGCACATGTGCACACAGGCCCACGTGGCTACTCCACGCATGCGCATTGATCACGTGGTCACAATTACGTGACCACATAGCACATGGGTTTTGTAGGACGTATAACCCAGAAATGACTAGGTGGAAATGACAAAGTGTCCTTCCAGGGCATGCACGACCATGGGGGTGTGGCTGGAATTCCTATCATCCTGGATCTTGCTTTGTAGACCAGGCTGGCCTCGAACTCACAGAGATCCCCCTGCCTCTGCCTCCCTAGTGCTGGGATCAAAGGTGTGCGCTACCACCGCCCGGCTGTTTTCCACTATTAATTAGATTCTTTTTTTTTTTTTTTTTTTTTTTTGGTTTTTCGAGACAGGGTTTCTCTGTGTAGCTTTGCGCCTTTCCTGGAACTCACTTGGTAGTCCAGGCTGGCCTTGAACTCACAGAGATCCACCTGGCTCTGCCTCCCGAGTGCTGGGACTAAAGGTGTGCGCCACCACCGCCCGGCAATTAGATTCTTTTTACTAGCTTATTGGGGATGAGTAGCTGAACCTTGCTTGGGGTACAACCTGTGACAGGGAAGACCCAACCCCCAAAAGTTATTCTCTCTCTCTCTCTCTCTCTCTCTCTCTCTCTCACACACACACACACACACACACACACACACATGCTCACACACATGATACATACTCACACACACACCACACACTCACACACATAGACACCACACATATACCACACACACATCACATACACACATACCACATACACACATACCACACACATACTCACCACACACACTCACCACACACACACACCACATACACACATACCACACACACACTCACTACACACACACACACACCACACACACACCACATACACACATACCACACACATACTCACCACACACACTCACCACACACACACACCACAAACACACATACCACACACACACTCACTACACACACACTCACCACACACACACCACATACACACATACCACACACATACTCACCACACACACACCACATACACACATACCACACACACACTCATTACACACACACACACACACTCACCACACACACACCACATACACACATACCACACACATAACTCACCACACACACTCACCACACACACACACACACATACACACATACCACACACACACTACACACACACACACTCACCACACACACACCACATACACACATACCACACACCCTCACCACACACACACACTTACCACACACACACCACATACACACATACCACACACGTAACTCACCACACACACTGACCACACACACACACCACATACACACATACCACACACATAACTCACCACACACACTGACCACACACACACACCACATACACCCATACCACACACACACTCACTACACACACACACACACACACACACACACACACACACTCACCACACACACACACCACATACACACACACCACACACACACTCACCACATACCCACCACACACACACATACACCTCATTAAAAATAAAGGAAGGGAGCCGGGCCGTGGTGGCGCACGCCTTTAGTCCCAGCACTCGGTAGGCAGAGGTAGGTGGATCTCTGTGAATTCGAGGTCAGCCTGATCTATAGACTGAGTTCCAGGCCAGCCTGGTCTACAGAGTGAGCTCCAGGACAGCCAGGGTCACACAGAGAAACCCTGTCTCAAAAAACAAAAACAAAAAGAACAAAAAAAAAAACAAAAACCCCACAAGTGGACAGGTTCCAAGGAATGACATCTGATGCGGTCCTCTGGCCTCCAAATGTACATGTGCACTCACATGAACACACAACACATATATACACATAAATAGAAAAAAAAAAAAAGAAACAGATGAGTCTTGTCTCAGAAGACAGAGCTGCCAACTCAGAGACCTAGGGTTTGGATAGGAAGCTGGGTGATGGGAACCCCGCACAATACTGGAAATCTGTGAGGAACTGGGGGCTGGACAAATGTGAGGAACTCCTGGGCACATCATAGGAAACCGTGGAGATGCTGGGTGTGCTCAAGTGACCCCCCCCACACACACTGCGGATGCCTGGCTCTTCTGGTGACACACACACACACACACACACACACACACACACACACCAGTTTCTCCGAAGAGGCAGGAAGTGCCACCTGAGGTTCACTTCCTCTGCCGGATGTTCAGGCACTGCCTAGCTGCTCCCCTCACCCCTGGGACTGTCACACCTCCTCTGCAACACTTTCACTTCCCCTGGTGTCCAACCCCGGCCCCAAGCACAAGGGAGCACCTGGTCTAGGGAGGCGGGGGTGGGGTGTGTGTGGGGGGGGGGTGAAGAGACCCAAAGACACACACACACACACACACACACACACACACACACACACACACACACACACGACAGAGGCAGAGAGGGACCCAGAGAAAGAAAGAGATGCAGAAGAAGAAGGAAGGACAGAGAGAGAGAGAAAGAGAGAGAGACAGAGACAGAGACAGAGAGACAGAGAGAGTTAGTTCAAGGGCAGGGGCGGAGCCAGTGGACAGTGAGGTCAGAGTGTCTGTGAGGTTGGCCCCTGCAGAGACAACCCTGAGGCCCCAGGACAGAAGTGGGGAGAAGTCAGTCAGGAGCCCCTGTGCACCCTCCCCGAGCCATGAACACCTGCGAGGGACCACCCATTGTGTCCTTGGTACCCACACATTCCAAAGACCCTCAGGTACGCGCCCTGTGGAACCCATGAAGATGGGGCCCAGCCGCAGCCGTATGAAAAGGGCTGGGTGGAGCTCCACCCCTGGAACTTCCTCTTTCTCTGCCCTCTTCCTTTGCGCCTCCTCTTAGTCTCTCTTCCTTCTCCGACCATTATGCCCCTTGTTCCCTGTGGCCAACACCTCTTCTGTCTGGGCTCCTCGAGTGGGTCGCTCCCCATCTAGGCGAAGATGTCAGCCCAGGAGAGTTGCCTCAGTCTTATCAAGTACTTCCTCTTCGTTTTCAACCTCTTCTTCTTTGTGAGTTTCCTCAGGGCTGCCCAGCGGGGTCCCAGGGACACCGTGGCCGCGGTCTCATGCTCTTCTCTCCCCTAGGTACTAGGCGGCCTGATTTTCTGCTTTGGCACCTGGATCCTCATTGACAAGACCAGCTTCGTGTCCTTTGTGGGTGAGGGGGCTGGGCAGTAAGGGAGGGTCTTCCTGGGGTGGACCTGACCCAGAACCCCACCCCAAGGCATCTCCTTTGCCCCGGAGGCCCTCAGTAGTTACCAACTTCCCAGACAGGACTCAAATTCTAGAGCCCCACTGGCCACTGCCACCCTGCCTCTGTGCCCCGTGTCTTCCCTGGCAAACAGGACATGTAAACTGGACATGGTGGTGCACGCTATCATCCCAGCGCTCAAGAGGTGGAGCTGGAGGATCAGGAGCTCAAGGCTATCCTTGGCTACACAGCTGGAGGCCAGGCTGGGCTCTGTGAGACCTGACTCAAAACAGCCATGACAAAATGAGACCATGATTACAAACAATAATAACAGAAATACTTCCTGTGTCACATCTTGGACTGGGGCTCACAGACCCTCCCTTCTTGAGGTTCACGGAAGGGAAGTCTCTTGCTGGGTGTCACACAGCAGGGAAGGGGAAGAGCAGAAATAACAGTAATAGCAGGGAAACTACTGATGAAGTGGGCATCAAAACCATAGCAACTGGGCCGGGCGGCGGTGGTGCGAACCTTTAATCCAGCACTTGGGAGGCAGAGCCAGGTGGGTGGATCTCTGTGAGTTCGAGGCCAGCCTGGTCTACAGAGTGGGTACCACAGAAAAACAGAGCAACTCATATTTATCACGGTGAACAATGGTTCTCATGCATACCTCAGAACAATTCTAGGGTGTATGTGATGGCTCACATCTGTTATCCCAGCACATGGGAGGTGTAAGCAGGAAGATCAGAAGGTCCAGGTCACCCCTGGCTACAGAGTGAGTTCAAGACCAGCCTGAGGTACATGAGACTCAGGGTGGGGCAGAGCCAGAGGCCCAGGCAGATTCTGAGTAAGGCCCAAGAGACGGGGCTCTGCCTGGGCGGCCTAGGGGAGCTGCTATTTCCCAGCCCACCCTCACCGACTTTCACCGCCTTAGGCCTATCCTTCGTACCACTGCAGACCTGGTCCAAGGTCCTGGCTGTCTCGGGTGTCCTCACCATGGCCATGGCCCTCCTGGGTTGTGTGGGGGCTCTGAAGGAGCTGCGCTGTCTTCTGGGCCTGGTGAGTAGCGTCCCCATCACGGTTCCTGTTCTGCCCCTCCAAGGCCTTCTCCCGCCTCACCTCCCTCTCCACTCTGTCCTCAGTACTTCGGGATGCTGCTGCTCCTGTTTGCCACACAGATCACCCTGGGGATCCTCATCTCCACTCAGCGGATCCGGGTGAGTTTACCAACACTATTACCCCAGCCGTGGAGGTTGAGGGGCAGGAGTAGAGGGGGGAAAAGGCATGTGGGCACTGCCACCAACCAGGAAGCTGAGCCACAGAACAACACACATACACAGAGACAGTAAAGGAAGACCGGGACCGGGCACACATAAAGCTGCCGTGGCATTGCGTGTGTCCCAGCTACTCACAGGCTCATATTAGCCCAAGAGACCAAGGCTAGCCTGGGCAACATACTAAGGCCGTATCTATCAAAAAAGAATAGGCCGTGTGTGATGGCACACATCTTTAACCCCAGTACTCTGGAGGAAGAGGCAAGCAGATCTCTGGGAGGCCAGCTTGGTCTGTACAATCAATTCTAGGGCCGCCAGTTACATAGAGAGACTCTGGAGAGAGAGGGGAGGGTGGAGGCAGAGGCAGACACAGACCGACTTCTACTTGGTAGCATTTATTCAGCTGATTGAGTGCTTGCCTACCATTCATGAGCTGGTGGTCGGTTTGGTCCCCAACCCTGGATACCAGCACCCAGAAGCTAGTTAGGATCAGTTCCAGACCAATGTGGGCTACAGGAATATAATTTATTGAATAATTTTATTCAAAAATAATTTTATTCCAAAATTAAATTTAAACTTAAAAAAAAAAGGAAGCAATGGAGACCTAAAGACCCTTAGAAACTCCTCTGAGAGAGATTCTGAGGAAGAGAGCCACTGCCACGGGTGGTAAAGTTGTGCTCCTGGGGGGAACCCCACGGGCGGGGCTGGGGCAGTCGGCCAGTTCACTCCATCCCCACCTACACCCCCTCAGCTGGAGCGAAGGGTACAAGAGCTGGTGTTGCAGACCATCCACAGCTACCGCACGAACCCGGATGAGACTGCGGCTGAAGAGAGCTGGGACTACGCGCAGTTCCAGGTGTGTGAGCTCACTACATCTCTTGTCTCGGACAGTTAACACCCCGGGCTCTAACGTGGCTCTAAAATCTTAGCTTCAGCCTGGGCTTTAAGGAGACTCTGCGTCCCTGCGGGCCGCAGGTTACCTGTTCCCTCATCCTCGCGCCCGTCACACACTGCTTGAGCACCCCCAGATGACAGCATCACTGTCTGCATGTAACTAAGTCCCCAATCCCTAGATCCTGAAGTTGCTCCACCCCAGTCCTAAAATTTCTGTGCGAGGGACTCCCGCATCCACCCATCCCGAGACAGAATCCAACCACCCACAATCTCAGGTTCACCGGGTGCTCCTCTCCTGAACCCAGGTCACTTTGGCCCCATTGTATCTCCAGCCCATTGCCACTTACATACCCATCATCCCAGGCCTGGCTGCACACCTACACCCGTGACGCCGGGCCCCTGACTCTGTCCCCCCACCCCATCAGCTGCGCTGCTGCGGCTGGCACTCTCCGCGGGATTGGATGAGCGCCCGCATGCTGAGAGGGAACGATTCTGATGAGCCCTTCGTGCCCTGCTCCTGCTACAACTCCACGGCGACCAATGACTCCTCGGGCTTTGATAAGCTCTTCTTCTCCCAGATTAGCCGGCTGGGGCCGCGGGCGAAACTGAGGCAGACCGCTGACCTATGCGCACTCCCCGCAAAAGCCCACATCTACCGCGAGGTGGGACAGGCGGTAGCCCGCAGCCCTAAACCAGGCTTGGCCTTGTTGGGGCGGGACACTGGAGAAGTGGGCCGTCGAGTGGGCGGGTCTTTTAGGGTGCAGGAGTCTTAAGAGAGCAGGCTGGGCTTTGAGGGTGCGGCTAATATCAAAGGCGTGACCTCAGAAGGTGAGGAGGAGGCTAGGAAAAAAAGAACTCCTGATGCCTGGGCATGCATCAGGAGTCCAAAGCAAAATGGTAGGTGGGGCCAGGGAGGGTTGGGACCCTCTGATGTGATCCAGGCCTACATGGGGCGTGGCATGAGGGGGCGAGCTTTGGGAGGGGAGGCTACAGAAGACAGACCAAGGGCAGTCCTTTATAAGTGGTCGGGACCTACTCAGGAGCATGGTATCTGGAGGCCGGTGGTGCGTGAGCTGGACGGGGCGGGCTACTAGAAAAGTTAGTGACGAAAGGGGCGGAGCCCTCTGACAGCGAGAGGCGTAACCTAAGCAAGGGCGGAGCCTGGAACACAGGCACTGGGTAAAGCTTGGACAAGACGTGCTTGGATACCTAGGCACTGGGTACTGCAAGAGGATCTGAGGGGCCCCTGGGCTTGAGGGTGAGTTTCAGAAGCAAACACCGCCCTCACATGTTTCCTGCACCCCCAGGGCTGCGCGCAGAGCCTCCGGAAGTGGCTGCACAACAATCTCATCTCCATAGTGGGAATCTGTCTAGGAGTCGGTCTGCTTGAGGTGACTTGACCCCGCCCCCATCAGTGATTGGTCTAGCTATGTTTTCCCGTTGCCGAGGAAACGCTTGCTTAGCTGTACCGTCTTTATCAATCGCCACATTAGCATGAGATGGGGCGGAGACCCGGCTTCTGCAAACTCTTGGCCGTACGCGTGCGCTGCCCCCTCCCCTCTCCCGCAGGTGAGCGGGATGGCGCTGTGTCTGCAGCTACATCGTAGAGCTTTCAGCCGAGAGCCGGTGCTGCCGCTGTCGGGAGCCGAGGGTTCGAGCCCTATTCCCGGGCCAAGCGCTGAGGGCAGCGGCGGGCGCTGGGGCGGGCTTAGCAGCAGCAGCAGCGGACGCAGCAGCACCCCATGGGGCACCAGGGGCATGGCGGGTGCCTGCCCCACGTGGGGGGACAAGGCTCCACAAGGCAAGCTACCCATGGCTCTGGGGCCCTGGCCGTTGTGGGATGCAGACGAGGAGCCGCCCGAGACGGAGAGCTCGGGCGCTGAGGTGGAGGTCGGGGCACACGCGGAGACGGCCGAGTCTCCGGAATAAAGTCCCGTGGGCCTGCCTCTGAGCTTCCTCCTTTTCAGACTGCCGCAGGCCTCCCGCTCTCAGCGCCGCCGACCACTCCACGCTCCCATGAACGCCCACTTGTCGCCTCTCCTTAGGGTACCACCCCTTCTCCAACCCTGAAGCATCTCCTTTCTCCCGCAGCTCGGCTTCATGACGCTCTCAATATTCCTGTGTAGAAATCTGGACCACGTGTACGACAGGCTGGCCCGGTACCGCTAGGCCCCAGCCCGCCCATGGGCACCCATGCACCTCCACGCTGCCAGGAATGTTTCCTTCCTGGCTGGCCCTAGGCTTGGAGCCCGGTGCCTCGGGACTCATTCCCTGGGGAGCCAGGTGTGTCTGCCTTCACAGACAGCCATCACTTCCCGCACCGCACCGCACCGGGGCCAGGGCCTTCCGTCCCCAGCTTCCTTCCCCATTCCCTCCTCCCCACACCATCTGTCTGCCACCTCCCACATGACACCTCAAATAAATCCCCTTCGTTTTTGGTAAAAATAGCTTTATTCTCCTTCGGAACATAAACCATCCTTCTTGGGGAAAGGAAGGTGGCAGGCTGGTCTGAGGCTCATTTAAAATGGGGACAAGATTAAGAAGTCCCACCCCACTGCTCGCCTAGCTGAGATAACATTACATCCTTAACACCGTGTATAAATATCTCCTTATATTAAAAAAAAAAAAAATCGGGTCCCACTTCACTCTGCTCTCAGCTGGGAAACAGTTATCTTCAATGTGTGACATTCCAGATCAGAGCAAGTGTGGGGCAGAGGCAGACATGGGGGTGGTGTGGAAACAGGAAGGGTACAAGGCAATGAGTAATATCCCTCACACAGCCCAGCTCCCTTTTCCAGAGCAAAGAGGGGCCCTTGTAGAACAGAGGCCAGTGCTGTCCCTGTGGGTGTGCACTCCTGTCCCAATCCCTGATGCTGAGGAGTGACGTGTCCTGTCAAATGCTCCCTGTGAGGTCCCATATTGGAGCTCTAACCTCAAACAGCTCATTCAGCTCAACAACCAAGTTTTGGGGCTCCCCTCTAATAGGAGCCAGCCCCCATTGCTCGAGCTTCTGAGATCAGGCCTTTTTTTTTTTTTTTTTAACATCATGGCCCCCTTTCCAAGCGAGGGGTACAGGGAGAGCCAAAGAGTCCTTCCTGGGAAGGTGGTGTTCTGAGGAAGACCAGCAGCGGGGCCCCGTCAGTCCCTGACCAGGCGGTAGATGTGGTGCTGGGCTCCGCGTTCACTGGTGGAGACCTCGAAGACGTAGGCCGTGCACAGCAGCAGTTCCTGCGTGTCCCTGTTTGTCACCACCTGCCAGGAGGACAGGCTTATGCTGTGGCGGGGGTGGTGTGCGAGTGTGCGAGTGCGTGTGTGTGTGTGCGCGCGCGCGTGTGTGTGTGTGTGTGTGTGTGCGCGCGCGCGTGTGTGGTGGGACTCCCCTGCCCACCCCTAGTTAGCAAGGCCTTTGGCCTCTTCCCACCTTCCAAGAAAGGGACGCCTGCCATGCTATGCATCCCAAGTAGAAGGGATGCCCTGCAGGTCAGGTTCCTTGGGCAAAGGGGTCACCCCTAAGCTGAGAGTTGGCAGGGAGGGGTCTCCACTATGCCACAGGTAAAAGGATTAGAGATCATATTAGTACAACCCCCAAATCAAAGGAGCGCCCACTAGCTCTGGACCCCTCAAGTAAGCCAGATGCTTGGAAGCTGAGGTAGCTTCAGCTGCCCTAGTGAGGATGGGCTTTCCACATGGGACAGGTGAGTCCCATGTTGTAGTAGAGTGCCCCACCCCACCATGTCCTAGAGGCAGAGTGGGGGCTCAAGGCTGCTGTGGAGCCCCTAGAGGCTGAGGGTCTGCTTAAAGTCCGGCCTGCCCGCCCCAGTATATCACCTGGAGGATGGTGAAGTTCTCCAAGACACTGTTCATCATGTAGCGTTCAGGCAGCTGCCGCAGCTTGTGTAGGAAATTAACCAGGTACTCACACATGGGGGAACGCAGCAGGCGGTACACGAAGCGCCCATCCTCCAGCTGGGCCCGCTCTGTCTGGGAGTGGGAAACAGTGGCTGAGAGAAACAGCGGCCCACCCTAGGAACCAGCCAGAGTACGACAAGCACCCCACCTTTAATGCCCAGGGCCCCTGGGTGTCCAACTCGGGGCCTCTGAACCTGCAAACCGGGAACCTTCCATCTCCTCAGAGTCATGATCTGAAACCTCATGACTTTCAAACACCCTTGATAGTATCTCCAAGCAGAGCTTGAGTCCTCAAGTCCCCACAGTCCCTCAAGTATAACGCCTCGTCTCCTTATTCCACAGACTCCTACAATACTCTTAAGAACCTTTTTTATCTTGTAGATCCAGTCTCTACACCTTTCAACCCTTGAAATGAGCCCTAGCTGTTACTTTTAGTGGCTTATTCCTGTTTTGTTTGAGACAGGGTCTCATGTAGCCCAGGCTAGCCTGGAACTCCTTATGTAGCTGAGGATAGACTTGAAACTCCTGATGATTAGTCTACATGGTGCAGGGCAAACATTCTACTAACTAAACTACATCCTCAACCTTCTTTGGAGTTAATTCCCAGCACACGCACTGAACTGCCAGAGAGGTTGGGATGGCCCTACCGTACCCACACCCACACCCCTGTGACCGCTTACTCTTGATGCATGCTGTGCCCTAGCCCTGGGCCTCACCTCCACCTTCTCCACCACTTGCTTGCCAAAGGAGCAGACCTTGGAGGAGCAGGTAAGTGTCATGAGCTCCCGGCTCTCATACTGGCTGCTCACTCCATAGAAGCCACCGCTGCCTCCACTGGCCCCTGCCTCTTCACCACTTGGGCCCCAGTTCAGGTCCGCCTGATACACGAGATAGAGAAGCACAGGTGAGCTGGGGAAACCCTACAAATTCTGACCCGGAGGCTGGCTCCCTCAGCTACACCCACTTGCTCATCCCCCACCCTGGCTCAGCTTCCAAAGTCCCCAAATCAGCGTATGTGCTCTGTAGACGACCCACCCCATGTTCCAGGGTCCCAAGAAGAGTCCTGACCCTCATTCTCTAGGAACCTGGGATCCAGAGAACCCAACCTTTTTGCCTGAAGCCCCTAGCTCTAGAGTTCAGCTTAGGCATAACAGTGCAAGCTTATAATGCTAGCACTTGGAAGGTGGATGCAGGATTGTGAGTTTGAGACCAGCATGGTCAACACACAGAGAAAGACGGTGTCTCAAAATGGAAACACCACAGAACGTGGTTGAGGTCTGAAGACTAAGGAAATGGAGGGAGGATTTTAAAAAAAAAAAAGGGACTTTAGTTTCTGACAAGGGCCTCGTTACTAGCAGGCAAGTTATCCTAGCAACTGGTTCCATATCCTCTCCCACCTCCCTACCCCCCAGGGGTTGTGAAAGCAAGTGGCTTGCCTACCCACTACCAGCAGGGCCAGGCTCCTCCTGAGGACACTCTAACCTCTCCTCTCCGTCCAGCCTCAGGAATGCACCTGTGCCTACCATCCAAACGTCAGACAGGCAGGACAGGCCTCAAAGCCCGTGGCACCCTTGAGAAGCAGATACTGCCTGTTCTCTGTCCTGACTTTCGCTGACTCCACCACCACCCCAGCAACAGGGCATTCTGATGCAGGACAAATCCCTATGTCTGTGGTCATGGCAGCCCACAGCTGGAACCCTAGCACTTGGGAGGCTGAGGTAAGAGGACTATTGGTTGGAAATCAGTCTAGGCTATAATGTGAAGGAGAGTCTGTCTCAAAAAGGATGGCACATGCCTTTAATCCCAGCACTCAGAGGCAGAGGCAGGTGGATGTCTGGAGTTCAAGACCAGCCTGGTCTACAGCAGGAGTTCCAGAACAGCCAGGGAGAAAGGCCTCAGCAGCTGCCTTCCCACCTCATCAGGAGCCAGGTTTCTGACAGCGAGCTGGAGGAGCCTCTGAACCCTAATAATGGCCAGCCTGCAGCAGCCCCTCAGAGCCATCGAAGGCCTCCACCCAGAAAGCTTCGTGGTTTTGTTGTTTTTGTCTTTTTTCAGGATTTCTTTAGTTTTATGTGCATGAGTGTTCTGCTGCATGTATGTCTGAGCACCACATACGTGCAGCACCCTCAAGGCCAGAAGAGTTCCTCTGGAACTAGAGTTTCAGACACATGTGGGTGCTGAGAATTGAGCCTATGCCCTCTGGAAGAGCAGCCAGTGCTCCTAACCCCAGCCCTCTTTGTTTATTGTTTGTTGTTTGTTTGTTTGTTTGTTTGGTTTAGTTTGGTTTGAGCTAAGGTCTCCCTAAGTCATCTAGGCTGTCCTTGAACTCTGGATTCTCCTGCCTCAGACTCTTGATCATTGGAATGACAGGCATGTACCATGATACAAGGCTCAAAAAGCATTATAACCAGACACCCAGGGGAACCAAACTGACTGAAATCCACTGTGGATTTCCTTTCAGGACCAGACACCCTGAGCTCGTCAGTGTCAATCATGTGACTGGACAGCAAATCAGATGGGCCTCAGAAAGAGGTGCTCTTAGCCACAGCCCTCCATGTCCCCAAGATCTGCAGACACTTGGCTCCATAATAGAGCAGGCCTTAGGAAGCACTAACACTCGACCTACAGTCTCCCATATACTGTTTTGTTACAGAATATTATTTTAAGGTATGTTACATTTGTTTATGCTGTGGAGCATTTGTTTTAATGATGCAAAGATGCATTGCATTCTTTTATGTTGCATTTGTTTATCTCTGTGAAGCTGTATTACTGTGCCTGTCTAAAACACCTGATGGTCTAATAAAGAGCTGAACGGCCAATTGCAAGGCAGGAGAAAGGATAGGCGGGGCTGGCAGGCAGAGAGAATAAATAGGAAGAGAAATCTGGGAGGAGGGATCAAGGAACAAGAAAAGGAAGAGGAGGACATCAGGGGCCAGCCACCCATCCACACAGTCAGCCATGGAGTAAGAGTGAAAGTAAAATATACAGAAGTAAGAAAAGGAAAAAGGCCGGGCGGTGGTGGGCATGCCTTTAATCCCAGCACTCAGGAGGCAGAGCCAGGCGGATCTCTGTGAGTTCGAGGCCAGCCTGGACTACCAAGTGAGTTCCAGGAAAGGCGCAAAGCTACACAGAGAAACCCTGTCTCGAAAGACCAAAAAAAAAAAGAAAAGAAAAGAGCCCAGAGACAAAAGGTAGATGAGATAATTTAAGTTAAGGAAAGCTGGGCATTCCTAAGTAAGAATAAGTCTCCATGTGTGATTTATTTGGGAGCTGGGTGGCAAGCCCCTCAAAGAGCAAAGAATAGAGAGAGAAAACAAACAAACAACAACAACAAAACTACAGTGTTTGTTTTGCTTTGTTTTTGTTTTTGAAGTGTGGCCCAGGCAGACCCAAGACCCCCTTGTGCCTGGCTGACAATACCATGGCTTGGGAGCACTCCCACTCACCCAGAACTTGACCAGGAAGAAGGCGTGGGGTGGCCCTCGGTCATACAGCTCCCGGAGGCCACCCTTTTTCTCAGGGAACTTGTCATAGATCTGCCGTACGTCCACACTCTCCAGGGGCGGTGCTCCGGGACTGGGACACTGCTGACTGATGTGGACAAACAGGTGCCTCTGGAACTAGAGATGACAGGTAAGGAAGGGGACAAGGGCTAGACCCAGATCCTCACCCAACAGACCTACCGGCCAGCACATGGCCACACCTTGGGCCACATCCAGCCCTGTGGCCCCAGCAATCTGCCTATTCCTTCTCTGCCCCCACTGTCCCAATGAGCTCATATCCTCTTCTATTCTCTGGTCTAGCCTCCCCGACATTTTTCACCCCTCACACAGCTCTCGAGCTGACTCAGTCTCCAGAATCCAGTGCCTGCACTCCTCTCTGCAACATCGCCAGCTCCCACCAAATTTTGTCATTAATATCCTTGAAAATTCCATCTCTGTTCGTGTAATTTACAATGTTGCACCCAGCAAACTCGTACATAACCCTCAAAGACCAACTTACACATGTCCTTTCAGGGAAAACTTCACCAGCTCCCCAGGGAAGATCACCTCTCTCTCTATATATAAGAACTAGACATGTAGAGTATTAAAAATGTGTTACATTTATTTATGTTGTGGAATATTTGTTTAATGATGCAAAGATGTGTTGTATTCCTTTATGTTGCATTTGTTTAACTCTGTAAAGCTGTGTTACTTTGCCTGTCTAAAACACCTGATGGTCTAATACAGAGCTGAACGGCCAATAGTGAGGCAGGAGAAAGGAGAGGCGGGGCTGGAATAAATAGGAGGAGAGGGTCAAGGAACGGGAAAAGGAAGAGAGGACTCCAGGGGCCAGCCACCCAGCCACAGAGCCAGCCATGGAAGGAGATGTGAAGAAAGGTACACAGAGGCAAAAGCTAGACAGAACAAGTTAAGAAAAGTTGGCTAGAAACAAGCCAAGCTAAGGCCAGGCATTTATAAGAAAGAATAAGTCTCTGTGTATTTTACTTGGGAGCTGGGTGGAGGGTCCCCAAAGAGTAAAGAGTAAAAAAAGAAGCCAGCACCACCAGACAGGCTGGTTGTATGCTAGTACTAGTCTTGGTGCTGGGGCTAAAAGACCAGAGTCTGTTGGAAGAGGGAATGGGGGGTGGGTTGGAGGAGCAGGCTGTGGGGGCGGGAGGAGGAAGAGAGGGAGATCTGTGGTTGTAAAATGAATATAAATTTTTTTAAAAAAAAAAGGCCACTAAGTCCCCGAACTTTCAGAGTTCAGTCTACCACAGAGAAGAGAAGCTTAAATCAACTTACTTACAGATAACAGAAATGTCAGGAATAATTTATGCTATGAAAAATATCCTGGCGAGTATAGAAAAAGGCTCAAAAGTGATGGTCCGTGAACCAGGTATGGTGGTATAAGCCCGTAAGAGAGGTGGCTCACAACCACCTGTAAGTCCGGCTCCAGGGGACTGGATGCTCTCTTCTGGCCTCCTTGGGCACCTTGCATCACACACACACACACACACAAAATCTAATAAAAAGATGGTACATGATATTTTTAGCAGAAGGCTTGGGAAAGTCCCATGAGAAAATTAAGCCAGAGTCACTCACAGCCAGACCCAGAGAAGGCCCCTACCAGACTGAGGGGAAGGCAGGCAGAAAGGTGCCGAGGCAGGAGGGGGCCATGGTAAGCAGACAAAGACACAGCAGGGCAGGGTTCAGATAGCACAGGGGTTTGTGAGCAGTCGGAGGGCTTCAGCTCCTGCTCCAGTTGGGATGCGAAGGGGTGCCTTCAGTCTTGCTGTGGGCATTTCTCTTTTTGGTTTTTAGTTTTGTTTTGTGTGTATATGCTGGGATTTTTTTGGTTTTGTTTAGGGAAGTTTTTTGTTTTTATTTTTGCTGCTTATTTGTTATTTTGCACTAGGGTCTCACTCTGTAGCTCTGCTGGCCTAGAACTCAGTTTCACCAGCCTCTACCTCCCAAGTGCTGGGATTGATTAAAGGTGTGCACCACCACACCCGGTTCCTCTTCCTGGATTTTTGGGACAAGGTAACTTTCTGTAGCCAATGCTAGCTTTGAATTCACTATTATAGAGTAAATTGTTTTTTGTTTTTTGTGGGGTTTTTTTGAGACAGGGTCTCTCTATGTACCCCTGGCTGTCTTGGAACTTTCTATATATAGACCAGGCTGGCCTTAAACTCTCAGAAATCCTCCTGCCTCTGACTCTCAAGTGCTGGGATTAAAGGAGTGTGCCTCCATGCCTGCTTGTTTTGTTGAGACAGTGTCTTGTGTGTTCCTGCTTGGCCTCAAAACTCCCAGTGTAAAAGAGGATAACTATGAGTTTCTGACACACACACCCCCCCCTGCCTCCACCTCCAGGGTATTGAGACTGCACGCATGCACCACCACACCCAGTATATGCAACCCTGGGGATGTAACCCAAAGCTTCACACATGCTTATATTCTACCAACTGAGCTAAATCCCCAGCCTCAGACTGACTCCTGAACTAAAAGCAATACTCCTTCAGGCTCCAGGGTTCTGGGATCACAGACTTCCAGTGTAAGTCTCACCAACATCACCCTTTTTAGTAACCTTGACAACCTGATAGATGGCATTAGTGTGATTTCAGAGACACTGCATGCAGTGAACTACATACACTTCCCAGGCCTCTGCAGTTAGGTGTGAGCACATGACTAAGACCTGGCCAACAGAATGTGAACAGACCTGTGAGTAGCTTCATTCAAGCCCAGCCCATAAAACCTGGGCACACGTTGGGTAGTGGTAGCACATGCCTTTAATCCCAGCACTCGGGAGGCAGAGGCAGGCAGATCTCTGTGAGTTTGAGGCCAGCCTGGACTACAGAGTGAGTTCCAGGAAAGGCGCAAAGCTACACAGAGAAACCCTGTCTCAAAAAAACAAAACAAAACAAAACAAAAACAAACAAACAAAACCCACACAGATTGCAAGCCCAGCGCCACTTTGAGATCTTTGGCAGCAATTAACTCTGGAGCTCACACATGATTGAACCTGTACGATGAGTATTCAGAGACGGGTAATGCCTGGGGGGGGGGGCTCTCACCAACCTAAGACAGAGCACCTGTGTGGCCTGGGCAGGCATCTCCATGACAGGTAGGGTGACCTGCTGACGTCCCATGCAACCTAAGTCAGAAGCTCATTTTTTAGTAAAAGGGGGGCCTGTAGAACCCTGGCCCCCGTTTTTGGGTAGCTGTTGCCTTGCTTGCTGACCTTGACCTTGATATCCTCCCTATGCTAATTCCCTGCCGGGTTCCACCCTCCTGAATGCTTAAGGGAAGTTCCTTGCCTGTGTATCCTGCATATTGGACGTTAACAGCTTAGATGCAAGATTGTAAAACATTGGTAGCGAAATTCTGCCCTCTGGGGTTCTCCCATTGTGCCGTAAGCCTGTATTTAAGACCTCTTCCCTCCTCCAATAAATGGCATTCGGCATTTAAAAAAAAAAAAGCCAAGTTACAATGCAGTAACCAGACTTCATGGGAGAATCCATGACAGCCAGCCAGACCTCCTCCAAGAATAGAGAAAGCATTCAACATTATGTAAAACCCTGTAACAATGCAGGATTTTCTTTTTCTTTTGTTCTTTCTCTGTTGTAGAATATTATTTTAAGGTGTGTTACTTTTGTTTATATTGCATTTGTTTAACTCTGTGAAGCTGTGATACTGTGTCTGTCCAAAACACCTGATGGTCTAATAAAGAGCTGAATGGTCAATAAAAAAAAAATTAACAAAAAAAAACCCCTGGGCACAGGAAATCCTATACTCTCTCTTCCTCCATCTGCTGGCTGGATGCAGAGAACCCAAAAGGTTCTATAACTCTAGAAAACGGCAGAGCCACAAAATGGCAAGGGCCAGGTCCCAAACCACTGGGGCAACACATCTGTTCAGCCTACCTGCTGAGAATACCTATGAAACGCTGGGCACCCCAGTGCACGCATGTCATCCCAGCCCCCAGGAAGCTGAGGCAGAACGATCACGAAGTTCAAGGCTAGTCTGAGCTACAGAGTGAGACCCACCTTCACAGTAAACAATCAGAAAAAAGTAGAGCTATGGCTCTTTCCAGGTCCTTAGTGTTACTGCAAAGCCTGTCAAACGGCAGGGACTTGCTATTAGATGACTGAATGAATACTCTGTGTTCCAGTCCCAGAACACCACAGGAACAGGCTTGGCAACGTGTGCCTATAATTTCAATGCTGTTGAGGAGCAGACAGGTGTAGCCCAGGCTCACTGCTCAGCCAGCCTGGGCTACTGGGTAAGCGCAAGCGCAATGAGAGGCCATCTCAAAACACAAGGTAGACACACCTCAAGTTGGCCTCTGGTTTCTACATTTATAAATCAGAAAGAAATCCTGCACAGGGAACAGAGCGGGTCGTCTGAATGCACCCTGCGGGTGACGCTGCTGACGGTGGGGACAGCAGCTGTCTTCTCTGCCTCCCTTCCTTGCCCTACAGCAGCACCCAGCAACTGCCCAGGCTTCACTCACCGAGTCAACTGCATCCGGTGGTTCCACAAAAGCTGAGAACTCCACCAGCTGCAGGCGCGCGGTGCCCAGGGCCCGAGCCTGCCAGGCTGGGGGAGACGGAGCAGGCGGGGGCAGGGGTGAGAGGGCTGGGGGCGGCTCATACCCTAGATAGAGAAGAAAGAAGAACTACTCACAAGGATGGACTGTTTTCTCTTGGCCACTTCCACTCAGAGCTCTCAGGGCTAGGGATGGAGAGGCAGCTCCCCTGGCGGAGCGCCTGCCTTGCGTGCAGGGAGCCCCGGGCTCTTTCCCTAGCTCGGCCTTGGAATAGGAGCACACACCATCCTAGCACTTGGGAGGTGTCCTGTGACAGTGTGAGCATGAGTTCAGTCACACTCAGCTACAAAGCAAGTGCCCACCCTGGGATACACGAGACTGTCTCAAAAAAGAAAACTAGGGGGAGAAGGGCACTGGAGAGACAGCTCAACTGGTAAGAGCACTGGATGCTCTTCCCAAGACCTGGCCTCACAACAGTCTGTAACTCCAGTTCCAGGGCATCTAGAACTCGCTTCTGGCCTCTAGGAGCACCAGACACACACACACAGCACACCTAAATACATGCAGCAAATCACTCATACACATAAATCTTTAAAAAAAAAAAAAAAAAGCTAAATATTTCCTGCAGGTTCCCACACAGCTAAAGGTGGCCATACAGTCCTTGCCAATGTGTCAGAGGGAATCTACCAGAAAAGAATTCAAGAGGCAAACTTTGAGAAGAAAGCTCTTGGCCTGGACCAAGTCCAGCTTTCCAGGGGCATGGTAGAGTTGCAGCAGCCATGTTGGCACAATGAGGCAGAGGCCAAGTGAACTCTAGAGACCTCTGGCTGAGGTGACTGAGCTGGCAAGCCCTCTTCTAGACCTTGCATCACCTGGGATCATTGAAGCCTTCACTTGTCCTTGTATTAATCCGGATAGTCTGCTATGTTGTAGAATAATTGTTTAACTAGGCAAAGATGTGTTCCATTTGTTTATGCTGCCTTTGTGTTAATTAAATAAAATTAACCTGGGCTCAGAGCGGTGAGGTTGGCAGCTAGTTGACAGGAAGCAGCAGGGAGGAGCTGAGCATGGTTTTTTTAGTTGGGTTGGTGTGGCTTCCCAGGATGCCAGCTAAGAGAGAAAGTCAGCTGCTACACTAGCTCTCAAGCTCACAGGTTTTCACCCCAGCCTTTGAATCTCGACTTCTATCAGAACGATAGTTAGTCAAAACTACCCTTAGCAGCAGCAACACAGTCGTTGTCCGAGGGAACAGAATTCCCCTCAAGTTACAGCCTTAGTACTAGGCTGCTGGTAGATTAAAGTGCAGCCACCGTAAGGACGGTAAAGCAGTACTGTTACTTGTAGTCAGACGCATTAATTGGTGAGCATGGCGGCTTGCAAGAGCGGTAACTCAGAGGGCTGTGTGGGTGGGTCTGGGAGAAAGTTTGCCACTGGGAGTGGGCTCTGAGGTTTCAAAGTCCTACACCATTCCCAGCTTGTGCTCTCAACTTTAAGCTTATGGTTCAAGATGTGAGCCCACAGGCCGGGCGTAGTGGCATGTGCCTTTAATCGCAGCACTTGGGAGGCAGAGGCAGGCCTCTTGAGAGTTACAGGCCAGCCTGGTCAACAGGTCGAGTTCTAGGACAGCCAGGGATACACAGGGAAACCCTGTCTTGAAAATAAATAAATAAGAGATGCAAACCTTTGGCTTCCTGCTCCTGCCACCACGCCTCCCACTCTACCATCATGGATGGATCTAAGCCTCTGGAACCGTAAGCCCCACATAAAATCTTCTACAATTGCCTTGGCCATGGTGTTCGCATATCACAGCAATAGAAAAGTAACAAATAAAACCGAGGGACCCAGGAACTCTTCCACCCATCAATGTGGCTGTTCCGTGGCCACACTGGAACTCTGGGCTATGGGCATAGTCTTCATGGAAATGAAGCCGCCACAGAGAGAAACAGATGGAAGTAATCCCTGAGGCTGCCACTGAGCGGATGGATCCAGCGGTGCCTGAAGCCACCCTTGTGTCCTTTGTTTCTTTCCTCCTCCTCCTCCTCCTCCTCCTGTTTCGGCTAATTTGATTTAAGTTTTGATACTTGGCTGTGCCCAGTGGACAAAAAGGTGAAGGAATCGCTGCTGGGGTCAGGAACAGAAAGACAGAGGAGCAGACTCACCTGGTAGGTCAGTGGATGGGGGAGTCAGTGACACAGAGAACGGTGTCTGTGGGAACGGCTTCACGCTGCAGGACAAAAGGACTCCTATGAGTGCAGTGGAACGGTGCTGTCTGAACCCGCCACTATCGACCATGAAAGGCCAGGCTCCCCCACCAGAACACTCCATGCAGTAGGTGAAAAGACCTCTCCTCACGTTTTTCACATGAGACTGAGGTCAATGTCAACTGATCTGCCCAAAGCCACACAACTAGGGTGCCATAAAACATGGGCTCCAACCCCAGTCAGTCCCGACCACGAGGACCAAGATTTTTGTTGTTTTGGCAATACTAGAATTGAACCTAGTGCTTCAAGTATGCTAGGCATGGGTTCCACCAAGCAACATGCCCCTCAAATGGGGGTTCTAGGCAGAGGATCTATACCTAGAGGATCACTGTACCACATCCCCAGCCCCTCACTGGGGGATTCTAGGCAGGGGCTCTACCACTGAGCTACACCCCCAGCCTCTCACTGGGGGCCTGTACACAATGGCTCTACCATTGAGCCACACCCTGAGGTCTGGGTTTTGCTACAGGGTCTTGCTGTATAGCCCAGGCTGGCCTGGAACTCGAGATCCTCCTACCTCAACGTGTAGAGTGCTGGGAAGACAGGAATATACCACTACACCTGTTCTATGTGATGGAAATGTTCCACCTCTGTAACCGTCCCAAGGTAGTGGCCACTGGCCACATTGCCACTTAGCACTAGTCATGCCTGAGGAATGGAATTTCCATGTAAATTTAATTTTTTTGTTTTTGAAACGGGGCCTCATTATGTAGCCCTGGCTGTTCTAGAACACACAAAGACCCACCTCCCTCTGTCTCCCAAGAGCTGGGACTAAAGGCGTGTGTAACCATGCCCAGCTATACATTTAGTCGATTCTAACTCAACTGGCTGCTCACAAATAATCATTGTAGACTCACACTCCAGAGGCCTAAAGGTAGCTCAGGAGATGATGGTCAGGAGACTGAGAGGCCATAGGTCAGAAGAGGTCGAGGGTCAACAGACCAAGATGAGAAAGACAAACCCAGGGACCTTCCAATTGGAGTCCCAACCTCTTCTCAGCTCTCAACTTTGTATTTCAATGAATTTCCCACAATGCCTCGATCTCATGTCATCTGGTCACCATTCAAATGTCAGCTCCTCAGGAAGGCCCACCCGGCCTTCTAGCAGGTCTTAGTGGGTATGGTGGCATACAGGCAACATCACAGACATTAGGGGGCTGAGGCCGGAGGATCTAGTCTGGGATACAGAGCTGAGAGCCTGTCTCAAATAAAAACAAAAGCAGACCCTTGAGGCTAGAGATGGGCCCGATGGTAGACACTTGACTAGCATGCACAGGCCCTAGCATGAACTCAATTCCTCATATATATATACATATATTTTTTTTTTCTTTATACATACACAGGTCCAGGAATGCACCATTTCCTACTTTGTTCCTTAATAAGAGCACACCCAAGCCGGGCAGTGGTGGCACATGTCTTTAATCCCAGCACTCAGGAGGAGAGCCAGGAGGATCTCTGAGTTTGAGGCCAGCCTGGTCTACAGAGCGAGCTCCAGGACAGGCACCAAAACAACACAGACAAACCCTGTCTCCAAAAAAAAAGAAAAAGAAAGAAAGAAAGAAAAAGAAGAACAAAGAGCACACCCAGACACTTAGTAGGTGTTCAGTAAATATCTGGTGTCCCAGCTGCTTGATACAGGCCCCCTCATTGCAGAGGCTCACCTCAGTTTCCTGCCTGTGAATCTTACACATGTTGTTTATCTGCCTAGAATATTCCCACCCCCACCCTTCATCTGGCTAAACCCTACTAACCTCAGAGAAAACCCCAGAACTTTCTCCCTCACCATTAAACCCATGGTGGTTCCTCACAACACTGCACACACTTCCATTTTGAATTTCTGAAAGCATGGCTTAATCAGCGCGGGTCTCCCCATTTGACTGTGGGCTCTCCAGCACCCAGACATCCCTCCTCTGCAGCACACCTGCAGTCCCCTCGGCCCCTGGGGACTCTTTCTCATTTCTCTCTGATAACACACACTCCCATGCTGCCCTCACGCAGCCAGGCTGAGCTGGTGCTAGGGCCCCTTTGCCTACAACACATCTGCTTACCCTCAGTGCCCAGGGGTCTCCAGGCTGAGGTCACTCTAGGTACCCCTGATACTCATGTTCTCCCTCCCAAGTATGAAAGAATAAAGTAACCCCTTCCCCACCCCCAAGCCCCAGAGCCACCTCAGGGATCTGGAAACCAGCCTTCACAGGCAATTCTAAGGGTACTCACAGTCCCTCCCAAGAGTCTCTTGGCCTATAACTGCCCCCCCCCCCCCCCATGATCCTCTGAGACCTACTCATCCTTCCCAGAAGCCTCTAGGTTTATTACTATCTTCCCACAAGCCTCTTGGGAACCCTTCATCTGTCCTTGAGCCTTGGGCCATAAATATCCCTTCTTATAATATTAAGGAGCCCCCATCTCCCCAAGAAGCCTTAAGACTTCCTCCCCATAAGCCTCTGGGCCCTTCTTGTCCCTTCCGAGACCATCTGTATCCGTAACTGCCTTCCCACAAGACTTTATGGCTTCCTTTGTTTCTTTCTGGAGCCCCTGGGTCTACAACTGCCTTCCCATTATCCTCAGGGTCTCCTAGATCCCTCCAAGGTGATCTTTTGGGACCCATCCATCCCTCCCAGGAGAACCTCACCAAACAACTGCCTTCCCATGATGCACTGGAATCCACATGTTCCTCCAGTAGCCTCTGGGCCTTACATCTGGCTTCCCATGAGCCTCTGGGGCTGATGTTCTCACTTCAGAGCCATTTTTTCCATGGACATGTACCCCTTATCAGAGATGAGGTAACGAGGCCCGAAGCACAGAAGGGGTCACCCCCACAAGACCCCAGCCAGCAAAGTGCAGGGCCAGACTTCAACGCCATATGGTATGGCTTCAGAATCTATGTCCAAAACGGATGTGGGTGGGAGGGGAGGGGGAAGTACTCACTCTGGAACATTCCATGGCGGCCCAGAGCCCCCTGACCAGAACTGGAAAAGCTCAGTGGCCTAGAGAGAAGACACAGATGCGGGTCAGGCAACCCTGTCGGCCAGCACAGCACCATCCTTCCATCCCGGATCTCCACAGTCCCCAGCCCAGACCACCTGAGGGCCAGAAGGACCCAGCTTGGCCTGCAGCGAAGGCGCAGGGACCAGCTGTGCCGACGACGACGACATGGTCACCATGGTCTGGAATGCCTTGTCCTTGGAGACCTGGTCCTGGGGAAAGGTGGAGGTCCAGGTGAGTGGGGAGTTCCAGTCAAGATAGCCAGTGTGGGATAATGTCAGGGCTGGGGTCGGAGATGGAGGCATGGGGAGCTGTGACACAGGCTCAGAGGTAGCTCCCCACCTGCACCTCTGACCCCTCCTGGCCCCCCGTGTGCGAGGTATAGCGGTAGGAAGATGGGCAAGGGGACTTACTACATTCAGAGTCTGACCCAGGGTGCGGGGAGGAGCCAAGGGAAGAAAGAAAACCCAACTTAGGAACTGCTGTACTTCATCTCCCTTAGGACCGGAACAGCACCCCAGTCAGCATGGAGCAGAGAAGGGGGTCAGCGCACAGAGCAGCACGCACCTTACCTCAGAGGAAGAAAGGGTCACAAGCCCAGGATAAGATACTAACGGGTTTTCTAAGTCAGATGCCCAGGCTACAGGAAATGAGACTTTCAAGACCCCCGGGAACAGGAAGGGGTGTTTCGTATTCCAGAGAGAACACAGAGGGGACCGGGAAAGTACGGGAAGACCAGAACCTACAGAAAAGGCAGGGACCATCCCCAGGTAAAAGAACAGGAAGGAAGCCGGCAGTGGTGGTTTACGCCTTAAATCCCAGCACTCAGGAGGCGGGGGCAGGCGGATCCCTGAGTTCGAGGCCAGCCTGGGCTACAGAGCGAGATCCAGGACAGTCAGGGCTACACAGAGAAACCCTGTCTCGAAAAACCAAAACAAAACAGGAAACAGTCGAGGCTAATAGAAATCACACACAGAGGTACAGTGACGGGGATTCCGGCTGGGAGACACGGGGAACTCTCAGTGGAGAGTAGAAAACAGCACAGTCTCTCCCAGGAAAGAAAGCGTAGCAGCAGCCCAGGGAGGCAAGGATGGAGCGGAGAAACGACAGGGACAGGGGGAGAGCCAACCCATCAGCTGCATGAGCCACGCAAACCTCTGCTGGATGAGCAGACCTGCGCCTCAGGGTCTCTGGTCCCCAAGGATCTCTCTCGTTCTCTGTCTTCCCATTTCCTCCCGGGGTGAGTGTGCATGTGCCTGTCTGTCTGTTTCTCTGTCTCTCTGTCTCTGGGTCTCTGTCTACTTCCACACCCATATAACTGTGTCTTTGTAGCTGTGAGGTCGCTACACGAGTGTGTGGGTCCACGAGGATCTGTGGAATGAAGACACAGAGGCATCTTAAGAATGAATCTAGCCTATCATGGCTGCAGGGGGGTCCAGCCTCGAAGGACTGAAGCACTCTTCCCTTCACTTAGGGCATATTTATTTACTCCATTTTACAGTTTAAATAGTTAATCTCCGTACCTTCAAAACAAACCAAAAAGAGCTCCCAGAGACCAAATGCCAGGTACAAATTACTTAATTTCTCAGGTACCATGGTTTTCCGGGTTTCCTGGACCAAGTTTTACATAGGCCTTTGATCCTTGAGGGACTCTCTGATCCTTGACTCTCAAATAAGATTCACATATCTTAGGTGATAAAATAAACAAAAGATAAGAAAAACAAAAGGTGTGATTAAACAAAGGAAGGATTAGGGCTAGATGCTGCTCTCTGGAGCCAAGCCGGGAGCTCAACAAAAATGCCACTCCATGTCTTTCTGAGTCTGTATGTGTGTGTCCATCTCTCTGGGTCTCCATCCTCTTCTCTATCCGAGTCTCTGTCTCTCTCTTACTATCTCTGAATCTGTATCTCCCTTCCTCCTTCTCTCTCTCATCCCCCCCACGCCCCCCCTCCCCACCCCTGCCTTCATCCTTACCTTTAGCTTGGACTGGATTTCTCTCGATTTCCTTCGAGCCAAAACCTGGATGTGACTGGAGACCTGGAGGGATAGAAGTGGATCTGAGCGGTCCCTCCTTAGCTGAGGCGTTGTTCCTGCACAGGTGACAAAGCCTGGGACCGAAGGCTGTCTGCAGGAGTGGAAAGGCAGCTCCAAGGCTGATCCTCCAGGCCCCTCCTGTCCTTCCTTCTTGGGTTTTCAGCCTCTCTCTGAGCCCCTCTTTGTAATAACGTCCTACAGAAATACCAGCTCTGACGAGACGGTTCAGCAGGGAAAGGCACTTGGCACCAACCCTAATGTTCAAAGTTCCATCCCTGAGACCTACACAGTGGAACAAGAGAACCAACTCCTGAATGTTGTCTGATTTCTGCATGCATACCATGGCACATGGACAGACACACACACACACACACACACACACACACACACACACACACGTAATAAAAAAAAGTACGTAGAATTTTTTTGTATTACATTTTATGTATGTGGGTTCGGGCGCATCATGGCGCAACTGCAGAGGTCAGAGGGCAAGTCGGGGGAGTTGGTTCTCCGACCATGTGGCTCCCAGGGACTGACTCAGGTCAGGCTTAGCAGTAAGCCCCTCTAGCCACTGGGCCAATTCACAGGCACTTAACACAATCATTTTACAAGAAGTATCTGGCATTCCTACAACACAGGGAAAATACAGGAAACAGAGGCCAGGTTCAGTCCATACAGCTTGCCCTTCCTTCATGCCCGTCATGCATGAGGATGCCAGTTCAATCCACATAAATTTATAACGGCAGCACTAGGGAGCGCAGACAGGTGCAGGCCGACACTAGCTGCCTACTCAGTCTCGTCAAATCACCCAGCTCCAGGCCAGTGAGAGACCCAGTCTCAAAGCAGTGGGCAGTACTGATGAAACCTGAGGTCATCCACTGACCTCCACATGTTCATGCACACACAGGCATGGATACCCCCACACACATACAAGCTTCATGCACACACATGGATGGGTACCCCACACACACATACAAGCTCCATGCATACACATGCATGGATACCCCCCCACACACATACAAGCTTTATGCACAGGTACCCCACACACACATACAAGCTTCATGCATACACATGCACGGATACCCACACACACATACAAGCTTTATGCACACACATGGATGGGTACCCCCCCACACATACAAGCTTCATGCATACACATGCATGGATACCCCCCCACACACATACAAGCTTTATGCACACACATGGATACCCCCCCACACACATACAAGCTTCATGCACACACATGCATGGATACCCCCACACACACATACAAGCTTCATGCACACACATGCATGGATACCCCCACACACACATACAAGCTTCATGCACACACATTCATGGATACCCCCCCACACATATACAGGCTTTATGTCCACACATGGATGGACACCCCACACACACATACAAGCTTTCCGTTTCTTTTTTAATCACATGAACCACATCTGCCTTGAACCTGAACCAGCACGTGAAGACGGCCCTCAGGAAGTGCCCGACCCCAAACCAAAGCCCCAAAGTGTCAGTCTTGAGACCTGCTTGCGGGTTCTTGTCTTCCCTGTCCTCAGCTTGATGTAACGGGCAATGAGTTCATTCCGGCCTAGAGTCAAAATGGAAAAGAGCAAGACTGTCAGCAGAACTTCCTGCCAGAAGACAGGGATGAGGGATGAAGTCAGCAAGCTAACAATCCTCACTCAACTACAGCCAAGACAGGCCGAGGGACTCCTCAGCCACAGGGTCACCAGCTCAGTCACATAGTAGCTATGTGGCCACTGACAAATCACTTAATTTTCCTGTGCCTCAGTTTCCCTCATCTGTGCAGGAAAAAAAATGCTAGAGTCTTTCTAAGTCATGGGACGGATGCAAGCCTTTTTTGTTTTTTCATTCATTTTTTTTTTCTTTCCTTTCTCTCTTTCTTTGAGACAGATCTCTATCCTCATTGCCCTGGCTGTCCTGGAACTCACTCTGTAGACCAGGCTGGCCTCAAATTCAGAGATCCACCTGCCTCTGCCTCCTGAGTGCTGGGATTAAAGGCGTGTGCTACCACACCCAGCCTCATAGTTTATTTTGAGACAGGGTCTTATCTAGATGAGGCTAGCTTAGAAGTCAGTATGTAGCTGAGGATGACCTCAGCTCTTTAGGTGTGTGCCACCAGAGCTGGCTAGACTCTAAACACGTTAGTTAGTGTGACTTTTCTCATTGGGGTCAGGGTGGCCACCACAGAGAACTCACCATACATCTTGCCCTCATCCGATAGGATGATCTTTCGGCGGCCACAGGGAGGGTAGATGGCCAGGGCCTCCTGAAAACTCTGCTCGATGTCAGGGCTCCACACACCCTCTGCATCAGGGCCCCCGTCGCCTCCAACACCCTCACTGCCTCCAGTCCCCTCCTCGCTGCCTTCCTCACTGCCCGTCCAGCCCCCGCCATCGTCCAGGGGGGCCCCAGTCCGGGGTTCCCCCATTTGGGCCTGCAGAGACAAAGATCAGCAGCTATATATGATGTTGCAAGAACAAGGCAGGAGCCCTGACTGAGGGAGGAAGCTAGGCCTGGACCTCCAGGCTGAAGCCTGGACCCCTGGTCTGACGGGGGAGAGTAACCCAAGCCTGGGATCTGGGAGGCCGTTCTTCCCAAGCTTGCTTTGGGTTGAAGTCACCTGACCACCTCAGGGTGGTGCCTGAGGCCATGTGGACTAAAGCTGCGTTTGGATCACCGATTTCAGGGAAGAGCAGAGTCTGGTATGTTGCCAGGAGTGAGAACCTCCAGTCCCACTAAGAAGGAACAGGTGTTAAGAAAGGAGCAGCAGCTGCAGGAAAAGGCGAGGGAAGATCCAGGGAAAGCGGGAAGAGAGATCCAGAGAGAGTGGGGCAGAGACCCAGACAGGCACGGAGAAAGGGGGCATCGTCATGGCTTTCTGGCTGAGACCAAAAGGCAACCACAGAACCAGGCGGGGCTGGGGCTAAAGCGCCCATCAAGCCTCAGGCACTGGGACTCAGTCGTCCAGCCATCTGGAGGCCAGAACAAAGAGCCCTGGCATCCCCTCCCCCAGTCCCCCACAACCCCTGCTGTGGGCGGGGCCTGCGTGCAAGCAGCCTCCAGGGCCCCGCCCCCGCCCCCTGGGCTCGGCTCCAACCCAAGTTCCCGTCGACTTTCCGGAGGCCAGAAACAGGGAAAACTTTTCCCATACTGTCCGATACCGCCTCCCTGGAGGTTCCGTGTCTTCCAGAACTTCCCCAGGCTCCCAAAGTTCTGAGTCCCATCCCCTCCTCCGGACTCTCGACCTAGCGGAGGTTAAGCGAACAAAGACCCCAGGCCCAGCCCAGTGTGGCGGCGACGTTCAGGACCCCCGTAGGCTGGAATCCCAACCCTGCCCACTTCCATGTGGCCAGACAAAGAGACAGACGAGCGGGGCAAGACAGACATCCTTAATGCTCTGCCCTGGTCCCCAAGCCTCAGAAGAGCCATGGACGAAGGTCCACGGGGCCTCGCGGCTCTCCCCGGGCCACCCCCGCGCCTTCTCGGCTCCGTGAGAAGGGCGGACACTTGCAGGAGGGGTGGCCCGGGAGGGGTGCGCCTCGCACCGCAGGAGAGCTGCGGCCCCGCGCACCCGCGTCCTGGGCCCGCAGCCCCTGGCCACCCCGCGCGCTCCCCCTGCCGCAGACCATCCCCAGGCCCCTGACTCTCAGAAAGTTCCAGCTCCACACTAGGGCTGCGTCCCAGCGCAAACTCGGGCCCCAAGGCAGAAGGAGGGCGGCGGGCAATTCCCACGCGGTCCCAGGAACACGCACCTCACCTCATCGCGCGGAACTTCCCACCCCAACTCACACACCCCAAGCAGGACCCCGATTCCCGCCGGCGCCTTCCTACCTCCCGGCCTGGGCAGGGGAGCCGCGGGCGGGCGGGGCAAGACCGGGAGAAAGTTGCCGGGAGCTTTGTTTGGGAAAAGTGGGAGGGACCGCAGAGGGGGGGCGGGCCCGGCAGCAGGCTCGGGATCCCACCGTGACACTGGGGCAAGGTGTTTGCTTTGGGAGAGATGAGTCCATGGAAGGACTGGGTGCGGATGCTGGGGTCCCTAGAAGAGGTTGTTATGGGGGCCTGGATTCCTGGCTGTGAGGCAGGAAGCTGGGGCCTGGAGCCCGAGGTCTGCGAGAGGAATGTTGGGATCCGGACCCTGGGTCTGAGAGAGGAGGCTGGGGCCTGGACTCCTGGATCTGAGGGAGGAAAACTGGGGCCTGGACTCCTGGATCTGAGGGAGGAAGGCTGGGGCCTGGACTCCTGGATCTGAGGGAGGAAGGCTGGGGCCTGGACTCCTGGGTCTGAGAGAGGAGGCTGGGGCCTGGACTCCTGGATCTGAGGGAGGAGGCTGGGGCCTGGACTCCTGGATCTGAGGGAGGAGGGCTGGACCTGGACTCCTGGATCTGAGGGAGGAGGGCTGGGGCCTGGACTCCTGGGTCTGAGGGAGGAGGGCTGGGCCTGGACTCCTGGATCTGAGGGAGGAGGGCTGGGGCCTGGACTCCTGGATCTGAGAGAGGAGGCTGGGGCCTGGACTCCTGGATCTGAGGGAGGAAAACTGGGGCCTGGACTCCTGGATCTGAGGGAGGAAGGCTGGGGCCTGGACTCCTGGATCTGAGAGAGGAGGCTGGGGCCTGGACTCCTGGATCTGAGGGAGGAGGGCTGGGCCTGGACTCCTGGGTCTGAGGGAGGAGGTACTGGGAGTTGAGGGAAGGGAATGGACTCCTAGTTCTGATGGAGGAGGGGACGTGACCTGGGTCACCCTGTAATGCGTGTGTTTACTGAGGATGTGGAGTTGACAGGGAAACAAAGTAATCTTTACCAGTTGTATATGAGTTTTTATTCTTATTCTATGCTTTTAGATGTTTTAATTTTATTTTATCTGTATGAGTTTTTCTGCACGTATGCCAGAAGCCAGAAGAGGGCACTGGATCCCCTGGAACTGGAGCTACAGATGGCCCACTGTGTGGGTGTTGTGAATCAAATCCGGGTCCTCCAAAAGAGCAGTGCTCTAAACCACTGATCTGTCTCTCGAGTCAGCCTCTGTCTCTCTGTCTCTCTCTCTCTGTGGTGTGGAACTGGAGATGATGCTCAGAACCCTGAGGCTCTCCTGTGCTAGGCAGATGTTCCACCTCAGAGCTGTCTCTAGTCCAACCTCTTTCTGTTTGATAAGTAAGATGTTGGGGTGGGTTTGTTTTCTTCTGAGGACTTAGCTTCCTTGTGAGCTGGCCAGAGTCAAGCCTGTTGGGCTGGACCCCCCACCCCCACCCCCCCGCCAGAGTTCCTGAAGATCCATGGAAGTGCAGACTCCACGTTCCACGGGCACTAGTGGCTGCAAGTGGCACCTGTCCCAGCATGGGACAGAGCGTGGGTATCTGAGGGGCCCTGGGTCTTGCTCTCTTCAATACGAAGGTCTGAGTAAAAACGGTGCCACGCCTCTGTAGCCCAGCTCTTGGGAGGCTGGGGCGAGCCCGGATGCTCTAGTTGGCTTCTATTGCTGTGGAAAGCGCCATGACCAAAAGTAACTTGGGGAGGAAAGGGTTTATCTAAGATTACAGTTACAGTTCATCATGAAAGGAAGTCAGAGCAGGAAGTCAAACCAAGAACCTGGAGGCAGGAACTGAAGCAGAGACCATGGAGAAGCCCTGCTCACTGGCTTGCTCCCCGAGACTCGCTAGGCCTTACAGCACCTAGGAACACAGGCCCGGGGTGGAACCACCCACAGTGGGCTGGGCCCTCCCAATGTAAATCATTAATCAAGATAATGCCCTGCAGACTTGCCTACAGGCCAATTTGATAGAGACATTTTGTAAATTAAGTTCCCTCTTCCCAGATGACTCATGCCTGTATCAAATTAACAAAGAACTAACTAACCAGCATGATGAACTACAGACATTCTCTGAGAAAACAGACAGAAACCCCAAAACAGACACAAGACGGCCATGAGCTGGACAGAGGGCTCAAGGAAAGGGACTTCTGCCACCCTGTTGACCTGAGTTCAGTATCCAGTGCCCACGTGGTGGGCAGAACAGTCCTGAAGGTTGCCATCTTCATACCTGCTTGTGATATACACAAAGGTTCAAGGACATCTTCCACTACATAGTTCAAGGCCGGTCTAGGGTGCATAAGACCCTATTTCTAAATTTAAAAAGCAAGAAATGAGGAAAAGAAGGGCTGCCTATCTTCAAGCTCCCAGTCAGAAGTGGCTGGCATGTGGGCTCTGTGGGTCTGAAAGAGAAGGAAGCTGAGATTTGGGGTTTCTTGGAAAATACAACACAGGACTGTAATTAGGTTTTTTGGGATTAGTTGGGCTTTTTACATGCAATCAGCTGTAAAATGAGAAGACATCTATGGTAATCATCTTAGGTTCCTTGTGGCTTTACCCAGCAGGTCCGCATAGAGGATGATTAGACCACAGGCCTGAGTGCAGGTGTCTGAGATGGTCTGCACTTGGCTGTGCTGGGGGAGGAGGTCTTTTGCTCCACCCCTTGGTGTCTCTATAAAAACCCAGGGGCAGAGACAGTCAGGGGCCGTTGGAAAAGGTTCCAGGCCCTCTCGAGGCTATCCTTTATTTTCTATCTGTTTATCTCCGCGATATTCTCCGCAATAAATCCTTCTATCTAATATTTCCTGCTGCTCGCACTCAAGAAAACTCTGGGGAGCTGTGGGGTTGGTGGGTAAACGCCCCACAGTCGATGAATGAGGGTGAACCAGATGCCTTAGCAGTGAAGGCATTTACACTCAAGCCTGAGCTCGATCCTGGGGACCTACATGGTAGCGGGCCAGAACCAGCTCTTCAAGACTTGCCCTCTGACCTTTACATCTGTACCATGGCATTCCTATGTGCTAACACTGTGGATAAATAAAATTAAATGAATGATCTTAGACCCGGATATGGGATGAACAGAGGTCCAGGGAGTTCTGGGATACAGAAGCATTGTTCTAACTTAAAGGGCGAGACCACCCATAACTGTTGGTCGACTCCCATTGGAGAGTGGGGGTTGGGCAGAGAACAGTGGGCAGGACTGAGGGTTCCAGGGCCCAGGTCAGTGATTAGGGCGTGGCCCTGCGACGGGGGCATGGCCAATACGAGATGGGGCAGCAGAGGCCAGGTCAGGTAATAGAGGCTAGAGGGTGAGATCATCAGATGGGAGTGGGGTTATAGTATAGGGGCAAGATCAGGAGAGGATCTAGTGATCTGGCTTAAGGGAAGTAGTTAGTGATGAATGGAGGTGTGACTCTGTATGCAAGGGCTTGACCACGGAAGGAAGGCCTGTTCATCCATGAGGTCATCAACTGGGGGCAGGGAGACAAGTGGCTGTGCCTGAAGGGACGTGACAGGCGTGTCTTTTAGACGTCAGAGAGTTTAGGAAGGTCAGCGGGTGGAGGCGTGGTCAGGAAAAGAGGGCATGTTCCTCGGATGAGGCATGGCCAGAGAGGAAAATCTGGCTTACAGGTCATTGTTGGCGGAAAAACGCAGGGTGGCTCTGTCTCCGAGGCATGACGTAGAATAAAATGCCTGGCTCATGGGCAAGGTCACCAGGTGGGGACGTGACCATCCACTTCTGGCGTAAGAGATGTGGTTAATGAACAACAGAGGTGTGAATTTGACTGTGGAGTAGTGGTGATTCTGCGGTGACCGCGGGAGGTGGGCGTGGTCAGACAATTGGGGCGTGGCCAGGCTCGCGGAGCTGTGGCACCCAACCAACGCTCCGGTAATCTGCTCAGGCTCGAGGCCAGAACTGGATATTAACGGTCCCGGTCCGGCGGTGTCCGGAGCCCGGTGGCCGAGCTGCGGTCCAGGAGAAGGAGCGGATGTAGGCAAAGGTGAGGAACGGGATCTGAGTGACGCCGAATCCGGATGAACGGCGCCTGAAGTGGAGAGTGCGGACCAGAGCCAAGGGGATGCAGGGCAGGTGGGCGGGGCCTGGGGAGGGGCCACCGAGGGGTGATTGTTGAATCTGAAACTGCCCTTGTCACAGCCTCCCACCCACCTGCAATGTGTCGCCTGGGGGTCCTGCTGCTGCTGCTCACCTCAGCCTTCGTGACCTCCTCTGCTGCCCCGATCCATGATGCCGACCCTCAGGAGGGCTCCTCCGGGTTTCTGGGCCTTCAGAGTCTCCTTCAAAGCTTCAGTCGACTGTTTCTAAAAGTGAGTGATGGCAGGGCTTGAGGGGGCAGAGAGAAGAAAGAGAGTCAACAGAACAGAGAGGTCTGGAGTCGTGTCTCAGAGGGTAGCGTGACTGTCTTGCATGCACACGGCCTGGGCTTGGTTGCCCAGCACGGTTATACCAACACTCAGGAGATGGAGGCAGGGGAACAAGGAAACCCACCTTCTCCTACATAGGAAGTCTGAGGCCAGCCTAGGATACACGAGACTTTATCTCAAAGAAAAGCAGGATTGTAAGGTAATGGGTTGAACGGACAGATGATGCAGGACAACACAAAATAGGAAGAGAAGCTGGGCCTGGGGCTGAAAGCTCGTCATCCCAAGTAGCAGGTCACATGAAATCCCAACATGGAGGGGGGGAGTTCAAGGTCAGCCCAGGCAGCTTTTTTGGGAGGTAAAGTCAGGACACTGAATTGGAGGCCAGCTTCGTCTGCATATCGAGTTCTAGGTCAGCCAGAGATACATAGTGAGACCCAGTCAAAATACATACATAAAAGAGGGCTGGGGTGTAGTGGCTGAGGGTATGGCTCAGAGGTAGAGCCCCCAGTAAGGGGCCCCCAGCCTGCCTGCCTAGTATGTATGGGGTTATGGGTAGAGAAAAGAAGAGGGGTGGTAGCCAGGACATGCAAGGGGCAAGAACAGCAAGGCACTAGGACAGAAAGACAGGCAGGTATGGGGGCAAGAGGCCCCGGGATGAGAGGACCAAGGGAGAAAGGGATGGACTGACTTGGAGCAAGGCCTCGGGACACCCTGAAAGTGCAGCAGGTGTACACACTGTTCCCCTCTGGCCTAGGATGACCTGGTACGAGACCTGGACAACTTCTTCTCCTCCCCCATGGACTTCCGGGACCTTCCCAAGAACTTCCATCAGGAAGAGAACCAGGAGCACAGAATGGGGAACCATACCCTCTCCAGCCACCTGCAGATAGACAAGGTGCCTCACCAGGACAGTCCTTCCTGAATTCTCACTTCCACCCATCATGCTGCTTTTCCTGACAGGAGAGAGGAAGGTGAGGGAGGAAAGCAGGTTTGTTCTGACGCCTTGTGTAATCCTCACAGGTGACTGACAACAAGACAGGGGAGGTGCTCATCTCCGAGAAGGTGGTGGCCTCCATTGAACCAGAGGGGAGCACGGAAGGGGACTGGAAGGTAAGGCCCTACCGCGTCCCCAGGTACCCAGGAATCAGCATTTTTTTTCTATAGTCAAGGAGGTCCACTGTGCCATACTGTTCGGTTTCCTTTCTGTTACTGTCATGAAAC